ATTAAGGCACACACCGTTAAAATATACCACTGCTAGCCCAATCAGATGTTGCTGTGGTTGCATTTATTGATAAGCATGCACCCTGACGTTGATCACACAATATGATGTATCCTGCTTGGTGGTGATTTACTCTAATAATGATCTTAGCTAAGCTTGTGACCCTATAATCATACAACAATGTCAATATGGAAATCTGAATCTGTAACTCGTTAAAAATCACTTGTAACTGACACTTTGATTTAACTCTTGACGAAACCACATTACATAGAACTATAAAATGTGCAATGTTTAGATTTGCCACACAATTGTTCTTATGTGGTGACAGACATGCCGGCAACAGTTATTGTGGCTTTGCCTGCCTCGTTGTATTGATTTTTTTTAAAGAAAATAATTTTTTTTTAATGGGGTATGTCTAGCCTTTTTTAGTAGTCACTTAGTCACAAACCCTGGCCAAAGTTAGCATTTATATTTGTTTTTTTGCATTTTACTGCTCTAAAACACATATTTGTGTAAAGTTATGTCTCACGAGTACAACAGCGCACCTCATGTACAGGTTTTATGGTGTTTTGGAAAGTTACAGGGTCAAATATAAGATTTGCCCATTTCTGTTTTTGCAAATTGAAACTTGCCAGATTGGGTATGTTGTCTTTGAGACGGTATGATAGCCCAGGAATGTGAATTCACCCCACCATGGCATACCATTTGAAAAAGTAGGCAACCCAGGGTATTCAAAATGGGGTAAGTCCAGTGTTTTTTAGTAGCCACTTAGTCACAAACGCTAGCCAAATTTAGTGTTCAGATTTGTTTTTTGCATTTTTTACACAAAAACTGCACTTTTACTGGGGATATCATCATTGCGATATGTTTTACTGTTTTATAACACAAATATTTGTTTTCAGCGAAGTCTCCCAAGTAGGATAATATCCACCATGTCCAGGTTTTATGTTGTTTTGGAAAGTTACAGGGATAAACATAGGACTTGCAAATCAAATTATCTGGACTTGCTGCCTGCGTTGTCAGGCTGGTCCCTCAAATTATAATTAATAAAATTACTTAATTATGTTAAAAGACTACATTAAAGGACCACTATAGGCACCCAGACCACTGCAGCTTAATGAAGTGGTCTGGGTGCCAGGTCCAGCTAGGGTTAACCCTTTTTTCTATAAACATAGCATTTTCAGAGAAACTGCTATGTTTATATTAAAGCTAATCCAGCCTCTAGTGGCTGTCTCATTGACAGCCGCTAGAGGCGCTTGCGTGCTTCTCACTGTGATTTTCACAGTGAGAAAACGCCAACATCCATAGGAAAACATTGTGAATTGTTTCCTATGAGACTGGCTGAATGCGCGCGCGACTCTTGCCGCTCATGCGCATTCAGCCGAGGAGCTCCCCTCCCGGCGCTGGAGAAAGAGGTAAGTTTAACCCCTTCCTCATCCTAGAGCCTGGCGGGAGGGGGACCCTGAGTGTGGGGGCACCCTCAGGGCACTATAGTGCCAGGAAAACTAGTATGTTTTCCTGGCACTATAGTGGTCCTTTAATATACACATAGAATTTAAATATAGATACAGATGAGTTTAAAACCCACCTGTATGTTTATGTAGTTATTTATGTAATTATATCTATTTATATGTATATATTTATTTTTATATATTTATAGATGTATATACAATTTCATTCTGTGTATTTTGCCAAATATGTATGTATGTATGTGTGTATATATACCTGGTATTGATCCTGAAGAAAGTCCTACAGATAGGACTGAAACGTTGATCGTGTTTTAACATTTCTAAATAAAGATTGGACTTTTTAACCTTGTGAGTGCTGCTACCTCTTTGGAGATATATATATATATATATATATCCTGATGAAAGTCCTCTATGCAGGACTGAAACGTTGATCGCTTTTTAAAGATGTTCTAATAAATTTTGGACTTTTAACAAGTGAGTGCTCCTGCCTATTTTGGATGGATACATAAAACTAGCCATGGCATGCTAGCACCCGATCTTTAAAGGACCACTGTAGGCACCCAGACTACTTCAGCTTAATGAAGTGGTCTGGGTGCCTGGTCCAGCTAGGATTAACCCTTTTTTCTGTAAACATAGCAGTTTCAGAGAAACTGCTATGTTTACAAATGGGTTAATCCAGCCTCTAGTGGCTGTCTCATTTGCAGCCGCTAGAGGCGCTTCCGCGCTTCTCACTGTGATTTTCAGAAGACGACAGCGTCCATAGGAAAGCATTGAGAATGCTTTCCTATGGACTGGCTGAATGCGCGCGCGGCTCTTGCCGGGCATGCGCATTCAGCCGGTGATGCAAGAGGAGGAGGAGAGTTCCCCACCTGGTGCTGGAGAAAGAGGTAAGTTTAACCCTTTCCACCCCCTAGAGCCCGGCGGGAGGGGCACCCTCAGGGCACTATAGTACCAGGAAAACGAGTATGTTTTCCTGGCACTATAGTGGTCCTTTAAGGGATACTTCAAGCTTGAGTGCAGGAATACTTTGGATTTTTTATTTTTATATATATATATATCAAACTACTTTTAGAATAAAATTGCATATATATTTTTTTTATTTAATTTATTTTTATATATAGTGTGTATATATATATATATATATATATATATATATATATATATATTTATTTGTGTAGCGGAATTGGCTTTGGGACGGTATCCTTATGCCTGCTTTGGGCTGTTTGTGCTGGTTTCCCCCCTTCATGTTGTACCCTATGTTTTGGGCTTGCAGTCCTTGTGTGGGACAGATCTCCATATTATTGAATCATCATGCTTTTCCCCTGGCCGTTCAGTAAATACCATTCTCCTGATTTGCTGTTCTAATCGTCAACCGAACAAAATACCGAACAGCAAGCCACCCAGATGTGGAGTGTGCCGCTCATTAACACCAATAACCCTGTTCACACCTCCACAAACCGCAACTACATGAACGTTTCAAGCGGTCGGCTGGGTGGCCGCCGTTTGTATGTCCGAACACGTGGCGACGGCCATCTTGAAATATGGACAGAGACAGTGGTGTTTGGTTGTCAATTGTATGGAACTAAAACCGGCCTCTCAACAGCGCGAACACAGCTGGGACTTCCACCTTCTGTTACATTCGTGGAGATTCATGCGACAACAGAGTGGCGTTCAGGAGGAGCAAACTCCTGAACTAGATACTTATACGAACAATCACACGAACAGTTTTTATATATTTTATACTCCCGAATGAGACTGACCGCACAGCCTATTTTCATGGAACCTTTTTGGGCAGGCGCCTCGTGTGCGGTCATTCTAAACTATACCCAGGTGGCGTTTTGTCTACATTCATGGGATCTGAGCGCAATTCGGCTATATGGGGTGCTCAGATCCAGGCTATTCAGGGATATAAGACTTGAGGGGGTACCTTGTGGGGAAATGTATATTTTGGGGTGATAAAGATTGTACATGTTTTGGACCTGAGAGTTAATGTAAGTATACTGTGTACTTTGCTTGTCTACTCTCAGGTCCAGTGAGGAATGCCCTTGGAATATGTATTTGGAAACCCCTTGCATGGGGATTCTCATAAAAGGCCAGCTCTGGCTCTATTAAAATCAGTTATACCCAAGAGCTGAGTGTCGTCCAGTTGCTGGGGAGGTGGTGGGAGATTCTTGGATTACTTTGCTGTATTTGGCTGTTCCCTTGGCTTTTCTACTTGTTCCTGAACGCATCTTGGAGTAACCAGCAGAGGAGAGTCCCTGCTAGGACTAGCACTCCGCTACATTGGTGGCAGCCAGAGCTCACAGAGGAACAAGTACCAGTGGAGTTAGCAGTACACGTCCGTTCGCTTTCGGTACTTGGCTTCGCCCCCCTGTTAGCTTGTGTTTTTATGTCAATAAGCTTATGTATATTAATGAGATTGCTGGTTATGAGACTGTGTATCAATGAGCCTGTGCGTGTCTGTGAGATTGTCTGTGTCTGCATGTGAATATGCTTATTGTATAATTAAATGTTTTTTACTCTAAAAGGACGAATATTTTATATTAGAAAAAGAAAATGTATATATAATGTGTGATTGCATATTACTCAGTCGTCTGGGGTGGCATGACATAGCCTTACATATTGCATGTGACAATACATGGCGCAATGACTTATGGGGCTGGCATAGATTTTTTTTTTTTCCCAGGGCTGCTTTGTGTCCCTAGTCCGGCCCTGAACATGACACATATGTTTTTTTTTTTGTTTTTTTTTAAAAAGTGCTATGCAAGCACACAGATGCCATGCAAAAAGTAGGTCTTCTGCGCTAAGATAATTGTATGTCCTCCTGTCGGCTGGTTGAAGGACTTTTCACTTAGCGATATTCAATTGGCAGGTTTTTTTTTTGTTTGTTTGTTTGTTTTTAATATGCCCTTGTCTGCTTGAAAATTGCTATGTACAAGACAACCAATGACAGTGCATTGAGTGATTTTCAAGCAGGCAATGGAGTGTTGTGCTGTAGCTTTTTATTTTATTTACTTTTACATTTTTTGTTGCTTTGATACTTTTAGACATATCTGTTCTTATATATGCTTTTTGTTGCCACTTCTCTACATCTCCCCAAAGTTTTTAGTTTTGTGTATCAGCCTTCCCACTTTGATTTTATCATGCAACAGACGTGCAGAGACTGGGTTTATTGTCTTGTTGCATAAAGCCTATAATGTATTTATACACAGAGAATAAATGGCTCTATGTTTTCATTTATGAATTAACTTTTTTGTTTATGCAAATAACCCTTTTGAATTCCTATACATTCTTTTTTTTTTTTTTTTTTTCTCTTTTGGTTGTATAGATATTGAAAAGGAGATAACGGTCAAACCCGAAAAGCTATATACACAGCTTTGTAATGAAAATCCAGAGGTGAAGGATATAATCGAGAAATGGCTCCCGAAAGAAAAGGGTTTGCTCATTCTTTCAAGAAGCTGGGCTGTGGACGTTGATATGAACAGTGATCCCAATGTTGTTTTTGATGCTTTGTTAATAGCAACCAACAGACATCCAAAACTGTATACAGTATTCAAAAAAGAGATTTCCTACGCAGAGCTTACCTATTCAAGATTAACAGCATTGAAAATAAAGCTAAAACTTGTAAATGATGGCGGTTACACTAGAAAATTATGTGTTCTACCTAAACCTCTTTCTTTAGAGAAGGAAAATAATCATCCACAAGTTTGTATGGGAAAACTCTCCTATCCTCCAGCATACAAATTGGATTGTGTAGATGCCGTTGAAGAATTGTTGCGCTCAATTCTCATTGTCCTGCTTCGGTTTAAATCTGTTTTGAGTGACCATGCAGGAATTGAGGTTTTTAAACTTCTCACCACTGATCAGTATCAACTGCTGTCAGATACTTTGCTTGACACAAGGCATTTATTTGTGCATGGACTACCCGGTTCTGGGAAGACTGTGGTTGCTGTGAAGATAATGGAGAAAATCAAAAACCTGTTTCATTGTTCAAAAGAAGATATTCTCTATATTTGTGAGAACAATCCTTTAAAGGACTACATCTGGTAAATATGTATTTTATTTTAATGTTTTACTCTTGGAAACCTTAATATTGTGAGTTGTTTTATGACAATGTGAGCTTTACGTGTGTATGTTTTCCACACATTAACCCCTTAAGGACTGTGCCAAATGCACACGTTGTGATGAAAACAAAACATAAACAACACCTGGGATTTTACTATATGTCTGTTCAACTGTAATTCACCTCTTTCATATTAAGTGAACCCACACGTATTATATATAATTTTATTCAGGGGAAACAGGGCTTTCATTTAACATCAAATATTTGTGAAACATAATTTAATATGAATAAAATATAAAAATATGGAAGAAAATAAGAAATGTTAAAAAAATGTTTAGTTCTACATGAAATTTTAACTGTAAATGTCATAATACTTTTTGCTTTTACTGCAATAAAATACATATTTGTATTCAGCGATGTCTCACGTGTAAAACCGTACCCCCTATATACAGGTTTTATGGTGATTTGGGAAGTTACAGGGTCAAATATAGCATGTTACATTTTTCATTTTTTTCACATGGAAATTCACCAGATTGGTTACGTTGCCTTTGATTACCCCCATGATGGCATACCATTTGCAATAGTAGACAACCCAAGGTATTGCAAATGGGGTATGTCCAGTCTTTTTTAGTAGCCACTTGCTCACAAACACTGGCCAAAGTTAGTGTTAATATTTGTTTGTGTGTGAAAAATGCAGAAAACTAACTTTAACACCAATTTTGGCCAGTGTTTGTGACTAAGTGGCTTGTAAAAAATACTGGACATACCCCATTTGTAATACATTGTGTTTTCTACTATTGCAAATGGTATGCCATCATGGGGGTAGTTTTTCATTCAGGGGCTACCTCAAAGGCAACGTAACCAAGTTGGCGAATTTCAATGTGAAAAAACTGAAAAGCAAGCCTAATATTTGACTCTGTAACTTTTGAAACCACCATAAAACCTGTACATGAGGGGCACTGTTATACTCTGGAGACTTCGCTGAACACAAATATTAGTGTTTCAAAACAGTAAAACGTATCACAACAATATCATCAGTGTAAGTGCCATTTGTGTGTGAAAAATGCAAAAAAAATTCACTTTCACTGACGATATCATTGTTGTAATACATTTTACTGTTTTGAAACACTAATATTTGTGTTCAGCGAAGTCTTCCGAGTAAAACTGTACCCCCCATGTGCAGGTTTTATGGTGTCTTGGAATGTTACAGGGTTAAATATAGTGCTAGCAAATTAAATTCCCTATACTTTCAGCCTGGGTTGTCAGACAGGTTCCTCAAATTGCAATTAATAATATGACCTAATTATGTAAAATTATTACATAAATATATATGTAGAATTATTATATATATATATATATATTTGTGTACATATATATATTTTTTATTATTTATATATAGGTGTGTGTGTGTGTATGTATGTATGTATGTATATATATTTGTAGTCGGGGCAATATGGCCTAACAGAGAAATCTTAGCATAATATAATCATAACATCCATAAGTTAGCACAAGTCGGTTGTGGTGTGCCGGAACCGACAAAGCAGTAGTCCTGTAATAAAAGTGGGCCCACCTTAGAGGGTGTTATAAATAGAGGGAGTGGTGGGAGGGTTGACTCGCCAGACCAGCAACGGTAAGGTGGGAGTGCATTGGCAGCCCTTTTAAAGGGGAACCAAACCCCTCCCACAACTACAGGCCAAGCCTTCAAATTTGTAGTCAGGGCAATATGACCGAACAGAGAAATCTTAGCATAATATAATCATAACATCCATAAGTTAGCACCAGTCGGTTGTGGTGTGCCAGCGTCCCATAGCCTTAATAATATGAGTGGGTATGTGGTTAGCGGATGCTGAAGATGCTGCCCCTATACGGAAAGAGTGACCTTAAAATTGATTGGGGTTTAGGCCGAGCCTGGTCAACAGTAGTCGTATGTATAGCATGAATTTAGCTGTGGTCAGAGTGTGTCCATGCAGTTCAAACAAAGGCTGTTGGGGTTGTTTTTGGACTGAAAGGGAATAAGTATCCAAAACTTTTATTGGGCACCATATATTGTGAGTAGGGTACAGAGGAATTTGAATAGTGTGTCCTTCGGTGCTAGTTATTGATTGTCTTAGGGAGAGAATGTAATGGTTTTTGTAAATCATTAATTCTTAGGTAATCGTATGCTGTGATGGTCGTGGTTGTAAATTCACTGGGACGTAGGAACCCGTAAAAAGCAAGATATAGGGCTGTTTTTATTATGTTATTGGTCATGGGTTCAAAAGGAGACAAATCTAATAAGTTGGATAGAGAGCGGAATATGTTGTTGTCTATGGGTAGTCTTTGTGAGGGAACATGTGTATCTAATTTTTTAATGCCTTTAAGTAATGTTTTAATGTGATATGATGTCAAGAAACCCGTAGTGTTAGGTTGTTGGATAAGCATATGGTGCTGGATGCCGTTTAGGTATAGTTTAATGGTATTAAAGGATAGTTTAAGGTTGATGTGTCAAAAAGAAGTAAAACTTAAAATCGTTTCTAACGCAAACATGTCGTGGATGTTAAACTCTGTGATAAATTTCGTGAATACGTGAAAACGTATAAGTACTCCTAGTGTTTACTGAGAGTGCCATATGAGAAATGTGACGTGCGTGATCTAACAAAGTCTTTAATCCATTATCAGGTATTGGAATAGAGGTGCAGGTGTCACTCGTCTGGAAGCGTTGGGTAGTGTCGAGAGGAAAGCCTGGAAACGAAACAGAGACAAGTGATCACCAGAGATGTTTGTGTGCCCCGGAATGTGTATGCATGTTATAAAGAATTGACAAGTGGCCGCTACCCATGTGAGACGCCTTAGTAGTCTCATAATGACCAGTGATGCCGATCGGCCTTTATTGACAATATGGCACGTAGCCATATTATCTGAGTAGCGCCTGACCGTGTGGCCAGACCAATATGTTCCCCAAGCAATGGCTGCCACCACGATCGGGTACAATTTGAATAAAGCCGCGGTATCAGAGAATTTGGGTAGTGATTTGACATCGGTCGGCCAAGGTCCCCAAAGCCATTGATCACCCCAGATGGCCATAAAGCCTGTGTTAGCTGCGGCATCTGTCCATAGTGTAGGTGAATTGTCGGAGGGGGGTGGTATAAACATGGTTCGCCCGTTCCAAGAGGTGAGAAAAAAAAAACACATGCATAAATCCGAGATTGCGTGTACATCTAATGTGATACGTGAAGTGTCTGAGGTGTATAATGGAAACAAGGATAGCAGGTGGGATATAAATGATCTACCTTGGGGTATGATCCTCATGGCAAAATTGAGCGACCCAAGCAGTGATTGAAGTTCTTTGCGATTGCAATGACCTTGTAGCAGGTAATGTTCAATACTTGCCAGGGTACGCTCAATCGTGTCCTGAGGTAGACTAGCCTGCATGTGTATCTTGTCTAGTTGGATCCCCAAAAATTGCATGTTGGTATCTGGACCCAAAGTTTTGTGAGGGGAGACAGGAATATTGAGGGATTCAAACAAAGCCAACATGTGATTCAAACTACTGGGTGGGAGTGTGTTGTTCTCAATCGTGAGGAAATCGTCCAGTGGATAACCGAAGGGCACTTGCACACATTTAGTAACAACCAACATAACGCTTCTGCAAAGGTGTCAAAAATATGTGGGCTGCTTTTGGAGCCAAAGGTTAGTCGGGTGAAGAAATAATACATCCCCTGCCATTTAATGCCGTGTAGATGCCATAGGGAAGGATGCATGGGTAGTAATTTAAAAGCGTTTACCACGTTGGTTTTACTTAGCCATGCTCCTGTGCCAGCTTGAAGAATGGCCCCAATGGCATGGTCGATAGTGGCGTAGTGGAGTGAAAATTCTTCGGAAGGTATTAGAGAGTTAAGGCTGGGGACAGTGGAGGAATGTGGTGCAGATAAATCAATTATCAGTCCTGGGTTTGAGTGAGGTCTTCCCTGTGACCACCCCTATGGGATTGGTTCTCCAAGATGTGAAGGGTAGGGAAAAGAATGGCCCCAACAGAAACCCTTGTTTCACCTCGGTCGAGATAAGAGTGTTTACCAACTGTGGATCGTCTAACGTGGATTGTATTTTTTCGCATTCCAGTGTACCGGAAGGGTAAATGGACCAACCCGGTGTGAAACCCTTCAGTCATTCCCGTAATAATATAGTCAGTGAAATGACATGATGGGTGTAGTTGTAATAGCGAGGTCAATAATGTGATGTTCACACACATGTGATACGGTTTGGGGAATGCTTTATTCGGGCACATTTTAGCATGGGCCCTGAAACAGTGGGAACATACATGCATCAACCTACAAGAGCTGAAACCACAATTCCCCGCATAAAAGTTATTGCAGACCTGGGATTTACCTAGAAATACGATATCCCTACCCAGTTTGTCTTTTAATCCCCTAGCAGATTTTGGAAAGTTAGAGGTAGGTTGGTTTTGTTCGATTTCTGCTGTGTTTGGGCAGAAATTTGTGTGATGTGCTGTAGATGCACACGCTGTAGGTCTGAGGCCTGCAAAATGCCTGCAGAATAACTCAGTGTCCAATTTGCTCCAAGTAATGCTTAAATTGAACTGAGCCAGAGCTGCAGCCACCTTTGCAGAAAAGGAACGGTGGTAATCGTAAAAAGCGGTACCACCGTATTTGTGCCCCAGGTCCACCATCTTGTGCATGTTTGCATCCAGCTCTGCTCTTTTCCCCGGGTATACTGAGCAGTAAACATCCCTATAGATCCCAAAACCTAGTACAAATTCAGGGATGGTCAATTTTTTTGTTCAGCCTCGGGTCTCTTGCCCCTAGTACGACTGATATGCAAATGTCCTATTCTCTAGGACATCCTGGGAGGCTATAAGCAATGAAACCAGGTTTACATCCTTGCCTTCCAGAATGTCCTTTTTAAGGTTAGATGGGACCATGTGCGAAGGATTAACAGCTTCAATTATTGATATGGATTCCAATGAATTACCAGGTATAATGTCAGCGAGAGGGTGACTGGCAATAATTGAGTTTGTAGCAGTCTGTTTAGCGCCACTTGCTTCCAATTTATCCAGCCTATCGCTAATTGTGCTGATGGATGACATAAGAGAAGTCATCATGGCGTGAAATGCCGGCAGTTGTGTGCCACTAGGGCCTTCCCCTGCATCAGAGTTGTCAGAGGTAGTGTTTAAAAGTCTAAACAACTCCGCCTTCCTAGTAGTAGCTGGGAAAGGGATGCAGCGTCTTCTAAGTTCTGCAGTGAGACGTGGGATGGTCCATGATCTGAGTGATGAAGGACTAGTAACGTCTGTTCCAGGAACAGGGGTACCAGGCCTAGCGGGCGTGCAGGGTAGTGAGAGTTCCTCAGGGATATCAGGTGTATTTGACATAACTGAAAAATATAAGGTAGCTTAATCAGTCACTCTGTAATGAATGCGTGGGTACTGGTAAGGCTAGCTAAATACCAAGTGGTGAAACAATTACACTTCATGATAGTGACAGATGAGTCCCTACTAATTGCCAGGCGGCTTTGAGAGGCACTACCTATGCGTGGGCCCGAGGGGAAAGTATGAGGCCACCGAACGTTGTGGCGGGGTGTTGGCCTCTCAGTGGCAGTTTAAAGCATAAGATAGAATGGGAGTGATAAGTGAGGCCCTCTCTGCAACCATGCGAGACGGCTAGCTATGATTTGGCCCGAGGGACATATTCCTCCGAATATGAGGATGGGGGTGTTGGTCTTGCGGGACCACTAGCCTATGGATTAAGAACAGAATTTTTTTTTCCCTGATTGAGTCACGTAACCTAGGACCAGTACCACTCAGAACATGGAAAGTAATGGGTTCTGGCGTAGTACCTGATATGTGAGTCAGACTGAGCTGTCAGAGTAGAGCTAACCAGCGACTGTAAGAGTATCAAGGTGTTTACCCGTGGACATGAGATTTGATATATAAATGTCTTACTGTAATGTAGTGGTTTGGCCAGATCGTGGGCCCTAAAACAAGAACCTACCCGACACTCTGCAGAGCGTAGATTTAACTGAAAAGAAGATGACGGCTTCCGTGCTTGTAAAGCTGCTGTCTAACGTATAATAACCTAAAAGAGTAAATTACACACCTAACTAATTTTAATATGTATCATTGGCCTACAAAATTTAAAATTATAATTAAATTCCAATCAACCTAGAAGTAAATATAATTGATACAAGTGTCAGAAATGAATCTGAATATGAATCTGTGGAAAAAATCTGGAAAATCAAGACACATCATCCAGGTTTAAACATTTCTATTTACTTTAGTAGAATTTATATAAGTGACTGTAATAACGTTTGCAACCAGTAGGGGCAAAAATCCCCATGGAGTACTGGCTGAATTCGTGCTTATTCGTGAGTTTGTGTAATTACTGAAAGAACTAGGTAGGGTATTGAAATATACGAATAAATGCCTCCTAAGTGGCATTCAAAAACCGAACAGAATGATGTTATATGTATATAACCGAATGATAGCGTTCGTTAGCTTAGAAAAAGTGATACATGCGAGTAGATGAGGGAATTAGTCGAATGGCATAATGCATGAACGGAAAAAGAACCAAACGCTGGTTTGAAACAAACGGGGCTCCGCCATGTAAAGGAAGGGAATTTGCAGCGGTTTCTTTACGGCAGGCCTGACTTACGGTTTTTGCGGCGGCAAAGTAACGAGCGGGCTGTGCGAACGCCGGTAATGGGAAGGAGAGCCAGGGAAGCACCGGACCAGGAGACCACGAGGAAACAGGTAAGGAAAATCCAAGATGGCGGTCTGAACCGGAAGTAAAACGCTTCAGACTCGCCAGACCAGCAACGGTAAGGTGGGAGTGGATTGGCAGCCCTTTTAAAGGGGAACCAAGCCCCTCCCACAACTACAGGCCAAGTAGTTCAAATATATATATATATATATATATATATATATATATATACTTATGTATTACAATACACAAGATCCAGCGCACTCACCTATCCACTAAACAGTAACTTCAATGTTGAAAGATTTTATTTGTTTTTTTAAAAACACCAAATCTAGGCAAAAATAATGGGGGTTTAGTTACATTATATGATCATACATTGCATAAACCTGCCACAACGTCAATGTACCCCATCTTTGGCAGGTACTACACTAACAGCCTAATTTCTGCTCTTATGAGATTAACCCACTTACTTGGGGAAAAAATTCAACCTGGGGGGGGCGTGGCCGAGCCGAGCATGCGACAGGACGCCTAATTCCTGAGCTCCGCTCCCCCTGGCCCCTAAAACACGCGAAAACCGGCACTTACCCCGACAAACATGGTCCGGAACAAGAAGCCCCACATCCTGGGGGGTACCCCGCACCGCCCGACCGGGACTCTTGATGAGTTCGTGTGCACTCCGAGCACACTAAGCTGCAGCCGACCGCCTGACAACATGGCGCCCGGCTCCCCAGGCAGTGAAAGCGCGGGAGAGCCCACCCTGGACGGCACGCAGGATGACACACTCGCTCTGATTAAACAGGAGCTGGCAATGATCTCCGCACAGATGCTCACCAAGGCAGATACAGGGGGGCTACTGAGAGAACTTCGGGCAGCCATCAAAGAGGAAGTTGCAGCCCTGAGGAAGGATCTCTCATCAGTGGAAGTAAGAGTGGAGGCACTGGAAACGGAGGCCCAAGCAAGCCGCGCGCAGCACCAAGCGGCTGAACTCGCTACCACGCGCCAGGGGAACATGCTCCTCTCCCTTCGGTGCCAAGTTGAAGATTTAGAGAACCGCAGCAGACGTCAAAATATCCGGATTCGGGGGCTACCCGAACCGGACACAGCGCCACTACAAGACACGCTGCAGGCCCTTTTCCGGCAGATCCTTGGAGAGGAATGCCCGGCGGTGATCAAGCTGGACCGGGCACATAGGTCCCTGGGGCCGCAGAGGCCTGATGGCAGGCCGCGAGACGTCCTGTGCTGCCTCCATGACTACAGCCTTAAGGAACGCCTCATGACAGCTGCCCGAGGAATGGCGGATATACCCTTCCGGGGAGCAAGCGTGGCCCTATATCAGGACCTGTCCGGCCTCACCCTGGACGCCAGACGGGCTCTCAGGCCCTTAACGACGACCCTGCGGGAGAAGGGAATAGCCTACCGGTGGGGATTCCCCTTCAGCCTCCAGATTAGGCAGGGGAATGCCTGGATCCAAGTGCGCTGGCCAGAAGATGTGCCCCGAGCCTTAAGAGCCTTGCGCCTACCACCTATCCGCATCAGGAATTGGCTTCTGGAGACCCCGCTCGCACAGCTGCACGAAGTGGCGGAGGAAGGGCGCCCACCGTCGCCCCCGAGGAGAAGGGAGCGGGCACAGAGGATGCTGGGAGGCCCGAGAGGCGTGGAGGAGTGAGGAGAGGAGCACTCGCGGCCTGGCATCAGCCGGGCCGCAAGGTACTGGGGGGGAGCCGGGATACGGGTCTGCACCTGCCCATAGAGGGAGTAGGTTAGCCAGGTGGGGTGGGAGGCGTAGGCACCTCACAAGTCGCGGCTCACCCCGACCTGAAAGGGAGTTCATGGACATGGGGTGTCGCTTCTTCCCCTGCCGGGGCACGGACTGCCGCTCCTGGAGTTGGGACTGGCCCGCCATTTTGCCCCTGGACTTGCTACACTGGTAAAGTTTAGGCTCAAGGAGTCGTAGGGGGCTCACTGGGCTTTGGGAGGGCACTGGGGGAGGGAATCGAGGACTGCACCCTGGAAGTGGGGGAGGACATGGGCAAGGTCCTGGGGGACTGATGGCTACGAGGTGGGGGGAGGGAAGAGCACGGAGCGGACCTGCATTTCTCTCGGGACACTTAGCAACCTGCCCCCCCATGCTGGGTTGGAGGGGAGGCGGGAAGCCCCGCAGCTCCCCACTGCACCCATGCGAGACGTGAGGGAGACGAGTAAATGTCCTCCACGGGGAGGTGAGGAGGGATGGCCCCTGCACTACCGAGCCCACTCAACACCAGCCCACAGAGCACACACCCCGAGCCAGGGGCGAGACGGGGAAGGAAAGCAAAGAGACAGGGGGAGAAGGGCCTTTAGCCCGCACCGGAGCGGTGGCCTGGGGTCACGGGGATGGGGGGGGCGGGACGCCAAACGAGTAAAGTCTGCCAGAGGCGAGAGGGGCATAGGGTCTGCTTGGGTAGCTGGGCCGCCACGGTACGCTGGAAATGGCAGCCGCGATACGCGGAGATCAATTGCACTGCCACCCTGGGGGGGGTCCACCTGGGGGATGGGACAGGGGCATGACCAGGCACCGAGGTATAGCCTCCGGAAAGAGGAGGACTACTGCGGGACAGCACGGGCTAAGGGGGAGCTGACAGTGACGACTCTTAGACCCACCTTCACAGTCCTGCGCCTGCGGACGCTCACGTACCCACAGACACACTGTATAACACACTAGGGGGGAGCGACAAGAGGGGACATATTTACGTGGGACAGTCCACCCCTTACTGACTCACCGACCTAGACAGCTGAGTCTGACACTGTACATAGTTCTCACCTTGTTTAACTCTTTCTGTTATTCTATAACAGGTCTACTGACGACCCTCTACCTACGACCACCTCCCCCCCCTTTTTTTTTTCCCTTCTTTTTTCCCGCCCCTGACACCTCGCCCCCCGCCCCTGCGCGGCGGCACCAGCTCTCATGACCTCCCGGGGCCGAGAGGGGTTCGCCCCGGCTCCTCTGCGCATCTGGTCCAACAACGTCCGGGGCCTGAACCTGCCGGAACGGAGATCACATTTACTACGGGCACTTTGGTCCAATAGAATCTCTGTGGCCTTCATCCAGGAGACACACTTCCGCGGACAGACGGGACCGGCCCTCCGAGACCGACGGTTCCCCACTGGATATTTTGCTAACCATAGGGAAGCCAAGAAGGCAGGAGTGGCCATTCTCTTCGCCGCGCATGTCCCCTTCGTGTGTGCGGAGATCAAGGCCGACCCACTGGGACGCTACATCTTCCTCAAGGGCTCCATTGCAGACAGGCGCTACACCTTTGCCTCCATATATGCGCCCAACACCCGACAACACAGTTTTCTCACCAGAACCCTAAAATCGCTGGAACACTTCAGGGAGGGGCTCCTAATTCTAACCGGGGACCTCAACATACCATTGGATCCGCGGACGGACACCTCCCGGGGACGGTGCTCGCTGCCGGACGCAAGCATCAAAGCGGCACAATTGGCACTCAGAACGGCTGGCCTTGCGGATTGCTGGAGAGTCATGCACCCAGAGGCCAAGGATTTTACATACTTCTCCCCGGTGCACCGCGGCTACAGCCGCTTAGACTATGTCTTTATTGCACAAGAATACCTGAATCTATTACAAAAATGTGAAATCCTACTGGACGCTTGGTCGGACCACTCGCCGGTACTGGCCCAGCTGACCTCGCCTCTGCATAAACCCACAAGACGCCAATGGAAACTGAATGAACAACTACTTAGCGACCCGGTCACCATAGCGGACGCTACGACAGCGCTCCGTCATTACTTCAATGAGAACGATCCGTCTGACACCTCCCCAATGATTCGGTGGGAGGCCCATAAGTGCGTCATTCGGGGACATTTCATCAAGGTATGTACAACGCGGAAGAAAGAACACAGTAGGCAGCTACAAGAGCTATATACGAAAGTCGCCAGCTTAGAACAAGACCACAAAGCCGCACCGACGGAAGAGGCGTACCATGCGCTCCGAGAGGCCCGCCGAGACCTACAACATCTGCTCACGAAAAACCTCGCCTACACGATGAAAAAAGCCCATCGCTATTACTATGAACACTCCAACAAATGCGGTCGTATGCTAGCCAGAATGCTGAGACAACAACGCCGCGTGAACCAGATCACTAAGCTGCGGACAAAGAGCGGCGCCCTCACGCAGGTACCAGACAAAATAGTCGAGGAATTCCGGAACTTCTACACCGGCCTATACGATATCCAGAAAGATGAGACAAGCGCGGGCCGGGAAAGGACGGCGAGACTGACGAGGGAGTACCTGGAAAACCACGTACACCGGACTCTCACGCAAGAACAAAGGGAAGACCTTGATGCCCCCATTACGATCGAGGAACTGACGGCAGCCCTGAAGAACACACAACTTAACAAAGCCCCGGGACCGGACGGCCTCCCCGCCAGATACCTCAAGGCCTTTGGGGATGTCCTCCTACCAGAATTGCTGGCGGGCATGAACTCTCTCCTTGAGGGGGCACGCCTACCGGGGGACACCCTACTGGCAACGATCGCGGTTATCCCGAAAGAGGGAAGAGACCCGGCGGCCTGTGCGAGCTACAGACCCATTTCTCTACTAAACGCAGACCTCAAGCTGTTTACGAAGGTCCTGGCGGCGCGAGTGGGTCGCATAGTCCCATCCTTGATCCACCCGGACCAGACCGGATTCATACCCGGTCGAGAAGCCAAAGATAACACAATCAGAGCGCTAAACATCATGCACATGCAACGGAACTCGCCGGTCGGGGGCCTGCTCCTCTCCACTGACGCGGAGAAGGCCTTCGACCGGGTGGACTGGCGATACCTCCTCGAAACGCTCAAGGCAATGGGGTTCGGACCGAATATACTGCAGTGGATCTCCGCGCTATATGCGGAACCGACTGCTCAACTACGCATTAATGGGGTCCTGTCCACACCGATTCGGATACGTAACGGGACGCGCCAGGGATGTCCGCTTTCCCCCCTCCTGTTTGCCCTCTCTCTGGAGCCATTTCTTGAGGCGGTCAGACGGGACGGGGGCATTGCGGGGGTCACCCTGGGGGACGGCACGCACAAGGTGGCGGCCTACGCGGACGACCTCCTTTTCTTCGTGAGCAACCCTTTGATCACCTTGCCCAACCTGTTGGCGGCCTTTGAGCGGTTCGGACGGATCTCTAACTTCAAATTGAACGCGGACAAGTCAGAGGCCCTCCCCATCTCTATACCCCCCGAGTTGGTCGAACGGCTGACAGGAGAATTCCCCTTTAAATGGTGCCACCAGCGCATAAAATATCTCGGGATCTGGTTAACTAGAGACCTGACGAAACTCTAAAACTTTCTCCCGATTCTCCAAACGCTCCGTGCGGACTTGCTCAGATGGGGACGCTTATGCGTGTCGTGGTTTGGGAGGATCAACACAATAAAGATGAATCTGTTGCCACGCTTGCTGTATCTTTTCCAGGCCATACTTCAACACCTTGGGCTCGGCTATACTGCGATTCGTCTGGGCGAAGGGACCGCCGAGGGTAAGAAAGACACAACTGATACTCCCGAGACATCGTGGTGGAACAGCCCTACCGTCCCTACTCGGTTACTACCAGGCGACACACCTCTTACGAATTATAGAATGGCATGTCCTGGACTCGGACAAACAATGGGTCCGTATGGAGCGGCTTCAGGCCAGGGGGCGTATTCCATCGATGGTATGGATACAAAACCCGACATGCGATGGTTTCCTGCGGAACCACCCATTCATAGGCGCGACACTGAGAACATGGACAACCATCCGTTTCAAGCTGCAGCTCACCACGAACCCGGCCCCCCTGACACCTGTGATACACAACCCAGACCTGGCGGGAGGCCTGACACAGGGGGATATTGAGGGACTGGGGGAGGGGACGAAACAATACCTTCGGGCATGGTGTGCTAATAAAGCCCTAAGGCCGCTGGAAGACATGCTGGGCCAGAGTAGGGAGACAGGGATCTTACGATTTAGGTACCACCAGATACGCCGGTACTATGCCACACTTCAGGGGAAACACCTGATCCACCGAGACCTCACACACTTTGAAACGCTATGTGAAGGGGGATCGCACCCGACACGCGGGATATCGACCCTATATGCCATGCTCCTGGGTGCCGATGCGGGTCCCCCGGCACACTTCCACTCAAAGTGGGAACAAGCCACAGGCGTCACCTTAACGGAACCACAATGGGAGCAAATACACGTTCTGTCCCACCAGGGGATACTTAGTTCTAAAATGCAGGAACTTAATTATAAACTATTGACGCACTGGTACCGGACCCCCGTACGACTCCATGCCATGGGGGTCACCCCCGACAACAAGTGTTGGAGATGTGACATCGCCGAAGGGACGGCATTACACCTGTGGTGGTCTTGCCCTCGGATAGCCCCCTTCTGGCAACAGATCCATGACAAAGTGGTGGACATCCTGGGGGAAGACATCCCCATGGAGCCCCTCCCTATGCTTTTAAACCACACTCAGATACTCCTGGGGCGTTACAAGAAAACCCTTATCAGACACTTTCTTAACGCAGCCAAAAGCCTCATCCCCGCCAGATGGAAATCGCCAGTTGTCCCAAACATTACTCAGTGGGTAGAAAAAGTCGATGAACTTTATAACATGGAAATTCTTACGGCAGAACTCAGGGGCACGCAAGACCGCTGCACTCGCCTGTGGACACCGTGGATCTCCTACAGCTCGGACCGGAGGTGGGGGCGGCCGAGGGCGGACCGTCTGAGGCCAGTAGGAGGCGGAGTAGCGGGGAGGAGGCTGGATTGCGGCCGC